GCGTGTTGTTCTTGATGTTGTCCCACAGTTCCTCCGGTTTCCAGTCATTATTGCTCCGTGTGTCACATCTGTTCTTAAGGTCATCGTAAATTCAATGAGGGTATGCTCAAGATCATACTCTGGTTCCTGTGGACTTGTTTTACTTTTATTCACATTCAGCCTGGACCTGCATGAGGATCAGTTGATGGTCTGTTCAGTCAGCTTCTGACCTTGTTCTGGCTGATGATGCCTAGTTTCTCCATTGCCTCTTTCCAAAAAAGAGATTATAGAGTCAGTGTAAAAGAGGAAGAGCCTCAATGAGATAGCTTACACAACGGTTTCAGCAGTGGGCTCAGACATAGCACAACTAGGCAGATGGAGGAGGATGTGGAGGTAGTGCCTCATTCTGTTGTGCATAAGGTTCTGTAAGTTGACTCAACACAATCATCGTCTAAGAAAAGGGATGGTTTTATTGCTTCCTTCCTAATTAGGGTGCCTTTTATTTATTTATTTGGTGCCTGGAGTGTTCTGTCTAGGACTTTCAGTATATTGTTGAAAAGTAGTGATAAGGGCAGGCATCCTCCTCTTGGTCCTAATCCTACTGGGAAAGCTTTCAGTCTTTGTCCACTGAGTATAATGTTAGCTTTGTGTTTTTCACACCTGGTTTTTATCACATGGAAGGAATTTGCTCAGAGCTTATTTCTTACACTGAACCCTCCCTCATTCAATCAACCGCATATTGCACAGTTGATCATTCCTCTTTCTCGTAATACTTTTATGTTGGCCTTTATGACATCGCGGTATTCTTTTAAATTCTCTCTCTCTGTATTTACTTTATCACTTGTCAGCACCCAAGGGAGCAGTTTTGAATCTTTATCTCTGTGTACGTCCATAGCCTTTTCCCATTATATCATGTCTCAGTTTTAAACACCTTCACATCGCCAGCCTAAGCTGCTCTTCTGAATCTCAGACTCATGTTTCCACATGGCCGTTCAACATCTCTCTCTGCTGGGCCTCTCAAAGACCTCACTACGTTTAAATGTACATGAATGATCCTCTGACCTCCAGTATTCCCCGTGAACTTCTCCAGGTCTCAGCCAAGAGCTGCTCAAGCTTAGATGGACAATGCTTCAAAAGTACACAACACTGTCCATTATTGATTGGTATTTTGAGTTATGATGAAATAAAGAATATAGATGTGTGTGATTCTGGCCCTGGAAAGGGGTGCGTTCATTCAAGCATCTAACAGCATCATTTGTTCATTCAGGATTGACTTCTCAAAAATAATCTTGCCTGAGAAAACAGTTCCAAGGAGGAGAAGATAAAAGAGAGCAGAATGGCTGTTTCCCAGGTACAGGTAATGTTCTCAGCTGATTGTTCTGTATTCTCCTCTGTAATGCTATGCTGAGAATTTGTTTTTCTCCTCTTGACACTGACATATCCTGACTAACAAGCTCCATCACACTTATCTCCATGATGGCCCAGTGACCTAGAACTTGAGCAGAGGCTCCCTACATGGAGCCTTATGGTAAAGACTTCAGGCCAGTCCTGGTTGGGAGTTGGGGGAATAGACCCTGTTGGGGGAATGAGATGGGCAGTAGGGAGAGTCTAGGGGCCAGTCGTATGGATACCCCATCAGTTCTCTGTGGGCTTAGCAACCACACATTTATACACTATATTATTCTGTGGTAGCAGCAGAAAATTCCTGGAAAAGGGAACTTGTAATTGTTAATTTTCTCGTCCTGATTATTACCTATTTAAAGCCAAGCAAATGATTCTGTGTTATTGCTCCAAAATAATAACGACTGGGGATAGAATGGAAAGTTTGGTAATAGGTATCAGTGCAAGGGCATTCAATAACAGACATCAGTGATAGAAGAAGCTTTTTTTCCATCGTCAGTTTTAAAATATGGAATCAATTTAAACATTTAATAGTAGGAGGTTCTTTAAACCATGCACAACTCATCTGCTGGAAAAATCAAATACCTGTTCTCACTTCTCTGATACTGACCGTCTTAGTCACTGCAAATAATCTGTTATCAACTCGGGTCCTTTCTTTGATTTGTTTTCTGCCCCCAGCTGTCCATGCAAGACTTCTGTGACTCTAACCTTGGAGTCAGGCCAGATTTCCCAAGTTAAAGCCGTAGCCATAGCCAGCCTGCTCAGTCGGTCCCAAACTTCAGACGCCACCTGTACTTCCGGAGATTTCGCTAGGCTCCCTCGCGTTTGACCTGCGGACTACAAACTTGGGGTATCCTCTGTCACGTTAGGGTTTCACCTGTAACCTCCCCCGACTTCTGACCTACTGGCTTCTGTTTCTCTCTTGGGGCAAGATAAAATGACCCAACTCATGGAAAGTACTGTCCTTAACATTACAGTATATATATTTATTTATTTATATATGAAGAGACTCTCAAAAATAAGGTCTGGGAGAGTTTCCATGTGGTGTTTCCACATGTAAAGGAAGCGCTCCCTCTTTTGTGCATGGATGGCTTTTACCAAGCAGAGAAGCCAGAGAGCTTCGGTGGAGGATCTCATTATGTAATTCAGGCCGCCATCCCTCTATCCTTGGGATGTGTCAGCACACAGGTGGCTATTGTGACAGTCTTTTTCTGACTCACCAGCTCTTACCCAAGAGGCACCTCATTGGCATAACCTGTCAGGTTACATATGATCTTAACCCTCAAAGACATTGAAGATTGGTGGAAATCTAAGGTTTTCAAGGTTAGCTCTCAAAACTATAGGATAAAGACC